CTTCATAACGAACTGTCCTCAAGAAAGATGACAACAATAATACCAGCCAAGAAAGTGATCACCATAAGGGAATTGAGAATTGAGAACCAAAGGACTTTCACTCCCTCCATCTTCAAATAGGCATCCCATCTTGATGGCCACTTGATGTCACTCTCCACAAACGAAAACTCATATGTAAATGCCAGAGGCTCATTCTCCTTAATAGCCATGGCCACAGTGTTGGGATCACACTTGATCACAGACGGACTTGCACCATACATTTTCAAATTCTGCAGTGACTCAGCATTGTGTTGGATACTACAAGGGACCACCTCAAACCCAACAATCATGTATTTAGGCTTCTCTGATCCCGACTTCCCAACCGTAGGGATCACCTCGGCCCTATCCCCAGTACCAATCACACGAGCCACATTGGTCTCCTCATACTTATGAACAAGAACTGTAAATTTCAAGTGATTAATCACATAATACACATCTTGAACCTTAATTCCCACAGGATAACCTGTCCACCGCAAGGAAAAACCCTCCCTCCTAATATACCAAGTGGCGGGTAAATTATCAAGAATCAAATTAACCTGATACATCTCATCAATCCTCTTCTTCAAAAGCTTAACTTCATCACCCAACAATGGCTTGGTTTGACAGAGAAAGATCTTTGTCTCATTGGTGTACATCTTAAATCTGTACGGATAATTCTTAATCTTATCACCCATAAGGAGCTCACCAAGAAGGTTCATGGCACTGTCATTCACACCCTCTTGGGGCATGCAAAAGGGTAAGCTATAGTAGCTAAAGGGAATTTCAGTAACAAATGAAGTAAATGAATTCATTTTCACATACAAGAAATCCCCAACAACAAATTTGTGCGGGTAATTACCCGGAAGGTAAAACCCAGACCCCAATTGATATATCAAGCAGATAGACAAGACCCAGATCTTGACTTTATCAAATAAGTCAATTTGGATCATTTGCTTGGATATTTTGTACCGCGTCTGGAAGACCAGATCAGAAAATCGGTGTCAAAGCAAGATCGGAACAGTTTCAATCTGGGTTTTGAGTTCAAGCAAAGATCGAAGGATGAAACCTAAATAATTTCCAAGGATTTGTGAGGGTAATATCAGATCAGATTATAAAGTCTAAACAATATGAAACAATAATCAAGATAAAACGAAAGAAACAGAGAATTGAAAAGGGTTTGCGTGAAGATATAATAGCAAAGTGCAGATCTAACTGATCTTCAGAGAGATTAATTCGTACACAACCGATAGAAGAGTTGCGGTGAAGATGAGAATTGCGCAGAAATACAGATTATGCTTCGTTGAGCTCCGTGAATGCAGATAGACGGAGAGAGAATGATTGTTGGTCCAATTGTATACGGTTTCATCCGAGGTTTATTGAACCAACCCTTTTGCTTTCGCTCTCTAGAATTGGTTATCTCGCTAAAACTTCGAGTGTCTGAGAGAATATTGAGAGGATATCTGGTTGATATGCTCGGGTATTCGAGAATGAAATGGAGGGGATGGTTGCCCGCCATGGCACCGTGACAAACCGATAATCGCAAAGCGCTTGAAGATAGAGAAAGGTCCAATTATTCTTTCCTCGGTATCTCCGAAGCCCTTTCCTCTTCAGTATCTCCGAAATCCTATTGTTTCTCTGAAAAGCTTCAACGAACAGAGACCGTCCTTATACGCAGGAGATTCTCTGAATAGGGGCGGCAAAAATTTTTTTGGCCTGGGTACAAACTATTCCCAGAACGAGTAATCAGGCGAGTCGGGTCAGGTTCCGGTAAGAATATGCTATCCGTAGTTTTATCCGTCACTTGTTGAGCGGGTCTATTGGATGGCCCTGTGGCAGGCCTTGCGGATGGAGCTTTTGGGCGGGCTATTGGGCCATCTAACTTTTTTCCATCTAACTTCCAAAGTTTAAAATTGAAAAAATTGGAATAAGGTATACCAAATTGAAATTAATTATAAAAAGTTACAAAAAAAAAAATGTAGACTAAAAAAATCTTTAATTTGATATTTATTTGTGTCCAAGTACATTATTTGAAATTGAAATTTTCAGATTTTTTTGTGTCATTTTTGGCCTCCTTTGATCCATGCGTAATTTTTTTGAAAAGTGGTGCATTAAACATTTCGGTTTTATGATAGAACTTTATTTCATATTTGTATGTCCTCCCTAGATTCATGCGTATTTTTTTTAGAAAGTGGTTTTATTCTCAATTATATTTAATGCACCTTGATTCATACGTATTTTTTTTTTTTTTGAAAAGTGATTTTGTTTTTAAATTATATTAATATCCGAACTCCATAACAGTGTAATAATAATAGTGTAACAATAACAGTGTAACAAAATATTTACAAAAAAATTTGTATTATTACATTTTATCAAACATATATTTTCATATAATTTTATTCAAAACAGTCCATCTCCGTTTTGAATTTATTATCACATGCACAAAATCACTGAACATTTTTTTTGTTACAATGTATTGTTACACTATTATGGAGTTTAGATATTAACAAATTTTGAAATTCAAACAATTGATATATTTTAAAATAAACGGATTATTAAAGTTCTCATATAAAACTAGTAATAATAAATATTTAATATATAAATATAATTTGAAAATAAAAGCACTTTGCAAAAAAAAAAATTCATGAATCAAGATGCATTAGATAAAAGATTTTGAATTAAATGACCATAAATTTCAGCACTTAAGATAAATGTCTTATTATAGTTTTTAGAAAAGAAAATTTAACAAAATGGGTATTTACGTCTTTGTATCTCAGTTGTTTACTTTTTTTTTAAATATTTTCTCCTGTGTACTTTTTAACAATTATGTCTAATTTAGTGTACCGACTTCTAAAAGATCCTTTAAAATTCAATGATAAATTTTTAAAGTTTCAAATTCAATGATTATCAAAAATAACTGTGCACTAGGTGGAAGGGAAGGTGGGCTGCGTGGGAGGTGGGTGATCAGGTTTTTGGGCTAAGTTTTAACGGATTTGGTGGACAGGCTATTGGGCTGAATTTTGAGCAGAGTAATAAGTTTAGGGACAGGCTCAAGCTCTCACTTGTAAGAAATCGGACTTGAGTTTGAGCAGACCAACTATCAAACTTATTAAATTTCGAGTATTTTTTGGGCCGGTAACAGAATCAATGGACAACCCGATTCATGGACACCCGTACCGCTCAAGTTGAATTTAGTAAACTGCAATGACACCCCTCCTTGTTTTTGATATTTCAATGCTATCCTTTTTGTTTTATAAATTACACTGACACCCTTGTCAGTTTTATCTTCCAAAATACATCAAATGGATGCAGCCACAAGACGCTGTTGCCCTCCTTTATATACAAGTTTTCTTTTGCCCCACACAGGATCGTCTCTTTCCTCTCTCTTCCCTTTCAACAATCTCTCGACTCTGTCCTCTCCTCTCTCGTTGCCGCAAACATCCACCACCACTCACCTTTATCTCTTCATCTCTCTATTCTTTCTTATTTTTACAAGCACAAGTATACACAGCGTACACACATGCACAACACCCCAACACAATCATGCACACCAAAACCTGACTTTGAGTAATCTTCTTCAAAGTCTGATGGTCTGATGCGACTGTAATGGGTCATTGTCAAATTAAACAATGAGGTGAGTTTCTATATTGATGAACTTTGACATGGGTCATGGTTGATTCACTTTTTGCGCGTAGATTAGAGTGTTTTGAGCAAATTTTACCATCAAATTTTTATTAAATTTTTGGCAAACTTTTCTTTAGATTTTTTGTATAGCTTTTCTTAATGCAAAGACTCTGAATATAATGATTATGGAGAGGATGAGAAATTAGACTATACATAGACCCAAAGGATGGATGAATTTTGTGTCCAGTAAAAACCCAATTATCAAACAGAGAACTACCCCTTAAGGGCACAATGGACAAGTCAAGTCAATGAATTTGCTTACATCCCATCTCAGTTAGGCAGAAGACTATGATACCAGCAAAAATTTCTGTATTGTAACATCATCATCTACAAATTTTGGGGAATACTTATAATTTTGTGAGGACCAACCCACAAAACTTACAAAATTTAGTGGCTTTGGGCACAGTAGTCTTCTTCCTCAGTTATAGGCATATGTTGCCGACGGGTTCTTGTTGACGGGGGAATTTGTTAATATGAAATGGTATGGATCCAAATTTGTCACGCCATATTTTATAAATTTAGATTTGATATGTCAATCTTATTATGATCCAAGGGTTTGATGTCCTCTCCTTTTTTTCTTGCATGTTATTTGATGAGACATTTCTGGAAGAAGACAGATCGACGATATGTATCTTCGGCATCATTATGTTCTCAACCAAGTATGGCCACGTGTCCTCGGCGACACTCATCCCCATCTGCCGAGGCGATAGTGCTTAGAGCCGAGGGATCGCTCAATCGGTGTGTTCAACACCTATGTCCTCGGCTCGATAAAAATCCTTGACCCTGAGATAAATAAATATTCCTCGGTGCCGAAGTGTTCCTTCTGTATGTTGGATCCCACCTTTCCTCTGCTTCTACAAAAGGTAATGATTGACAGATGATTAGTCTAGGCCAAGTTAGACTAATCATCATGAAGATGCTCTGTTCAATGGTGTCAGGAGGCGTAGGAATGCAGAACGTGCAACCAAAGAGGGGTGGACGCGTGGAATTTGGTATCAAATCAATAGCAAAAAGATTTGGGTATCCTTGCTGACACATGACTAGAGCAAGTAAGTATTTAATGAATTCTCATCCTGATGAGACACAATTAAGGCATGAGCGCCAAGAACTGCAGTGCATTAAAGATCCCCATACTTGCATTTAATACATCCTTGCTGAGAAGGGGGAATTGAATGTTTGGCAGACCGAAGAGTGAGTTTTAAATGCTCAGCATTTTGATCAGTTAAAGCAAAACCCATTCCCCATAAAAGTGAAAGGCACACTGCCCCATCTCTGACAAATACCTGCTGGATGGACTATCATCAATCATTAGTTTTTGAAGGTATAAATAGTTCTAAAAAACGCATTGCAAAGGTATGTAAGAACTTCCAAAAAGAGATACATAGTGCTTTCTTCTTCTCCTTTCTCAAAGAACTGACTTGATCGTTGGAGGGGATACGTCGGAGGACACTCCGACACCTTTCTAACTTGTTTTTCTATGTCATAGGATCCCCCTACAGTCTTCCAGGACCGGTCAAGCGACCCAACAAACAATTCATCACCAGTCTTTAGGGCCCTTTTGTCCCTCTCAACCTATCTCTTATTGCCAAAACCCACGTTCGGATGGGTCAAATCTCAGCTGGAGGCGATCAAAAATCTTCAAAGCAAACCTTCTGTTCCATCGGAATTATTATCTTGACAAATCATAATTCATTGTGGGAGAGATTTATTCCTATTCCTATTATTGTGCGAAATCGGCACGCACATTATTCACTTTATTATACCTTGTATTAATGTGATTAAGTTGTACAAATACTAGCGCTAATTGAACTCTGTAAGCCCTAATTTTTCCCCCAATCCTCAAACTCATTAATGCTCCGTCGAATAGGGAGAATATAAAGTAAGAAGAATATACTTTTCTTCTTTTGTGTTTGGTTGGATGGATGAAAAATAAAAATAATTAGTCCTGGTTAAGATTAGGGGTGACAATAAAATCGAGTTGAATCGAGTCGTGTCATGTCGTGTCAGATTCGTGTTGAGTCATTACGAGTTTGTGTCGAATATTAATCAAATCTAACTTAACTCATTTAACTAATTGTATCGTGTTGAGTTGACCTATTTATTTTCGCATCGAGTTTGAGTCGTATCATCGTGTTAAGTCGAAAATTTTCACCCTTATTTAATATAAATTTTTTTTTATTACTATTTTTTAAAAAAAATTAAAATTAAATTTTAAAATTTTTTAAAATATATATACATATTTTACCATTATATTTTTATATGAAATTAATGTATACATAAGATATATAGATAAATAAAATACATCTCAATACAAATAATTAACTTTCTATCTACTTTCCTTCTGATTTTGGAAAAATTGATTTTGGTAAGTTAAAAAAAAAATTAATCAATTTATTTTTTTATCCTTCCTACTTTCCTTCTTTACCAAACATGATGTTTCATTTATCTTTCTAATTTTTCATTCTCCAACTTTTCCATCGTACCAAACGGAACATAATAGATTGGTCTACTGTTAACTGGCTAACCAGAGGTTCGAACCCTACTTGAAGATTTGATCCAATTAAAGAGGTTTATGTTGTTATTTTTACACCTGGTCTGGTCACCACAGTATTACATCAACCATTAGAGCTTTAGGCCTTCAAACGCACAAGCTGGGGGGACTTACTCTACCTGTCGTCATTGAAATTTTTTAAAAAAAAAAATCATTTTATCATAAGTGTTGCCAAACGGTATAAATACACTATTTGTATCACACTTCCTTATTTGTATCATCAATGAAAAGTTGGGAATCTGAAATGGTAAGTGTTAACAACCAATAATCCAATATTCATCGTATCAACCAGAATGCAACTTTACTATCATGCATGATGTTCATCTAGTGAAAAATATAACAAAAACTGGATGAAATTATTGTCTTAATTTCCTAGGACAAGGCATTTATGATAAGAACCATAAGTAGATCAACTAGAAAGATTGTATCCATCTCTCCAATGGCCGAATGCTGCCACTTTTCCCGAAGTGTCGAGTTGAAGGAAGTTCTTCAGTCCAGCTTCACTGAGGAGAACAAGTAATGCACAAACCAAAACGAAGAAAGGAACCCGACCGTGCCTGTTGCAAGCATAATTGCTAGAACCATGAAGAGTGAATATCCCAAGTAAAGAGTGGCAGAGACAGGTCCACTCAAACTCTTTAGATCGAAAACCAGATAGTTTATGGAGTAAAGAAAGATGTATATGGCAACTGAACCAGACGCAAAGAAGGATTTCCACCACCATTTCCAGTCCTCCACACAGAGATGCATGTAGGTTAGAACGAGAGACACTTCAGCACAAACCACCACAAGAAGGGTCAAAACAATGAAGAGGAATCCAAAAACATAGTATACACGGCCCATCCAAATACTGGACATGATGAAAAAGAGTTCGATGAACAGTGTACCAAATGGGAGAGTCCCAGCCCCAAGAACTAAAAGCCAAGATGGGTATCTTTGGGCTGGGATTTCCCGAGGGATCTGATTGGTTCGAACAGGGTATTCAATATGAGGTGCCCTTGCCCCAAAGTAACCACCAACAAGGGTAAGGGGAACCGAGATACAGAACCACAACAAAATGAGTATTACAAAGAGAGAAAAAGGGATGGCTCCTGTGCTGTGACTGCCCCACAATAAGAAATTCAACGTCGTTAGAATAAAAAAGGCAATACCAGGGAAGAAACAAGCAACCCGCCAAGAGACTGAAACCCATCCTTTGTGATCGCCACAGAAGATTGTCCTCCACATACGAACAGCAACATAACCAGCTGCAATTCCGAGAATCATGTAGAAAAATAACATACCTGTTATCAGTGTTCCACGAGAAGCTGGGGACATGAACCCGAGAGCGGCAAACAAAATCGTCACAACTGCCATCCCAAGAATCTGGACCCCATTGCCCACCATAACACACAGAAGTGAAGGATTCCTTGGAGCGCGAAAAACATCTCCCACAACAAGTTTCCACCCTGATAACTCCTCATTCATCTGGGCTTGAGCTTCCTTATCCAGTTCCTCATACCGAGTCAGATCCCGCCTAACTGTCCTCAAGAAGATGACAAGAACTATACCAGCCAAGAAAGTGATCACCATAAGGGAATTGAGAATTGAGAACCAGTGGACTTTCGCTCCCTCCATCTTCAAATAAGCATCCCATCTAGATGGCCACTTGATGTCACTCTCCACAAACGAAAACTCATACGTAAATGCCAGAGGCTCATTCTCCTTAATAGCCATCGCCACAGTGGTGGGATCACACTTGATCGCAGATGGATATGTATTATACATTTTCAAATTCTTCAATGACTCAGCAGTGTGTTGAATACTACAAGGGACCACCTCAAACCAACAACCATGTATCCAGGCTTTTCTGATCCCGACTTCCCAACCATAGGGATCACCTCGGCCCCATCTCCAGTACCCATCACACGAGCCGCATTTGTATCCTCATACTTATGAACAAGAACATTAAATTTCAAGTGATTAAACAGATAATACACATCTTGAACCTTAATTCCCACAGGATACCCCGTCCACCGCAAGAAAAAACCCTCCTTCCTAGTATACCGAATGGCGGGTAAATTATCAAGAATCAAATTAACCTGATACATTTCATCAATCCTCTTTTTCAATACCTTAAACTCTTCACCGGACAATGGCTTTGTTTGACAGAGAAAGATCTCCGTCTCATTGGTGTACATCTTAAATCTGTAAGGAGAATTCTCAATCCTATCACCCATAAGGAGCTCACCGAGGTTTTCGGCACTGTCCTTAACACCCTCTTGGGGCTGGCAAAAGGGTAAGCTATAGTAGCTAAAGGGAATTTCAGTATCAATTGAAGTCAGGGAATTCACTTTCACAGACAAGACATCACCAATACCATATTTGTGAGGGTAGCTACCCGGAAGGTAAAAGCCATGACCCAGTTGAGCTATCAAGCAGATAAACAAAGCCCAGATCTTGAATTTATCAAATAAGTCCATTTTGACCATTTTCTTAGTGATTTTTCGTCAGATCTGGAGAACCAGATCAGAAAATCAGTACAAAAGCAAGATCAGAACAGTTTCAACGTATATTTCCAGTTTTAGTGAAGATCTAGTGATGAAACAAACAGAATCTCTAAGGGTTTCTGAGGGTAAGTCAGATCAACCTGTATAGTATAAACAAGATAAAGCGACAAATATGAGGAAATGAAAAGGATTTTAGCTGAGATACAGTAACAAAGCGCAGATCTTACTAACCTTTTGAGAGATTGAGTTCTACAGAATTGAGAAAGGGTTGCTGTGTAGATGAGATTTGTGCGGCAACGCAGGTCGTGATTCGTAGAGCTCCGGCGAATGCGGGGAAGAGAGAGAAGCGAATACTGGAAGCCTCGAATCAGCATTTATATCATGGACCCGTCGGTGGACCTTAGGAAGAATTCATACTCGTCAAGCGAATGACACTTTCAAGATGACTATTAGGTCCTTGCAAACAATTTTAATGACATTTTAATCCTTTACATTTGTTGTTTTGGTTTTGATTATTGGGCCGGCTATTGTTGAACAGTGTGGAGTTACGAAAAATCATTCAAATCGAGTATAATTCTTTAACTCGATTAATAAATGAATCGTGTGGTGTAGAGTCAATGAATCGTGAGGGATAGAGTCAGGTTAACATGATTACCTTTTTAATCCGTCACCCTTTTGTCATTAAAAAATCTGTATACTAACTAATAAACATTCATGCTATTAATTAATAAACTAATACAAAAATATGAAATTCAATGATGCCAACCCACATTAAAAAAATATTTAAAACTATAAGAATGAGCTCATCAAAAAAACAAATGTAACTTGTCTTATTATTAAACTGGATAAATTATTTTGCCTAAAAAATATTGAAATAATAATTAATTTATTATTATATAATTTTATTTAAACAGGAGATAAACGAGTTCACATATCTCACCTGAACACAATTCATTTAATAAACAGATTTAGCGAGTCCACCCATTTTTTTACCATCCTCACCCATTGAGGTCTCACCCAAAATCACTTAACTCTGTATTGATTCATGTCATTTAATCATGTCGTGTCATATTTTGATAAGCCTATTATTAAAGAGAGATTCACTTTTGATTTCAATAGAGGATTTTACATTAATAAAAGATTGTTTATTATTGAAATTTTTTTTTAAAAAAATGTCTTAGAAGGGATCGGGTTCCCTTACCTTCACCCAATCCATACCAAATATTATTGGATTTGAATCTTCTTCAATTCATGCTTACTCAATAATTCTCAATTACAAATTTTTTGTTGTGGGTTAATGGGAAAATCACGCATTTATAGTTAATTCTATTTTATGATGGATGATCCATCGCGGAGTAATATTAAGAAAAGATACATTAGAAATGGATCTAGCAACATTCTCATTGCTTAACAATTTTTTTTTGTTGGTAATTAACATTAATTTTATAGAATTAGACAATTACCATATTAAAATCCGTTCTATCATTAGACTTTTTCAATACTAAATCGCCTACCGTTACAAGAGGGAGATCTAGTTGTATTCGTGGTAAGTGATATATTAGAAAAATCTAAGCATGGAAATGAATATGAATATGCAATCACCAAACAATAATTTATGTTATAACTTGAAATGTTACGGTGACCAAATTTGTCTCTTTACTTCATATGTTTGTCACATAGAATTATTTAATCAAACCTAGATCCAACTCTATTTTCGAGGAAATTGTTTAATCAAACCTAAAGTATATGACAATCTTATAAAGTCAATCATAAATAGGCTTGACTTTAAGTTCGATGTAAACAACATACCCTCTCTTGAAGATCTCCAATATTATTGGTTAGTAAATTATCCTCTATATATAACTGTGGGACTCATTTAAACTAGTAGTTCTTACGTGATTGTGTAGTGGTTATCAACCTTAAAACTAAGTAAAAAAAAATGGTATTTAAGAGACTTAGGTCCCATCTCTCAAACCAAATTCATATACCAATTTTTTCAAAATAAAATAATTTGTTAAAATTTAAGCGAATGTTTTTTTTATTTTATATTTTAGTGAATCCCTCCGCAAAAAGCACAATAAGTCTTTTAATGTTAGAGGAAAGTAAGAGAAGTTAGTAAAACGATAGATTTTATTTTTTTCTTGTTTAATCTACTTTACTACGCAACTGGATTAAGATTCTATAAAACATTTTGAGAGTTGAAGGAGTGCACCAAAGGCCGAAAGGTGTCCACTCACATCTCTAATAGTATGATTATAATTAAATGATTGATTACAACTTGAAAGCTATGTTGTGCGAGTCTTGACGAAGAGAGCTTACCATCAAGCAATAAAGAAGAATATTTTCAGTCCTTAAAAGGAGAAACTTTCTTGTTTGTGACATTATATATCAAATATGGTCACTAATGTCTTGTGTATTCATTGGAAAATTTGATCTTGTGATTATTCAATAAAGTATAGAGACGGGCAAGTTGAAACATTTTCACCCTCTCCTACATATAAGCAAAGTTCTAATTTAAGATTAGACAATAATCCACACCACCCATAAACTTAACAGTAAAATACCCGATATAAATTTGATGTTAATGAGTTTGAAGAGCATTCATTGGATTGAGGTGAATCCGACCATATGAAAGATATCAATTATACACTATAATAAATGAATCATGAATGCATAACATAACATTTGATACGTTATGACCGAGACTTGCCACGAAGCTGACACAACCTGACCCATACATTTGTGGTCCCTTAATGCAGAGCCTTGGCTCCCAATCTCACAGCTTCTCAGAAGTATCCATGCACATTTTAGGCCATGTATACATCCACAATTTGACCATTCTGTTTTTGGAATGTTAGCTTCGCTACACTTTTCAGTAAAGAACTACGTTTTCATTTTAAAATGGTCATGAAAATTGAAACGAATTATTAATTAAACATAAAAATTTATATGTTTCCAAATGTTTCAGTAAGTTTTAAAGTGTTTCGTCATATATTTTGACATATTTCAACCAATGTTGCGAAAATAAATTTTTAAATTTTTTTTTGTTTCTATTTTGTTTCCGAAATGTTACTGAAGTGTTTTCATTTTCAAATTCACCAAAATGCACCGAAACAAAATTTTAATCCTTCCCCGTCAACATTAATATAATAAAATGGCTGCGAGCTTCCTACTGGTCTGAAGGGCTAGAATTCCCTCTTACCAATCACCACTTTCAATTATCAGGGCAAAATGACCAAGAGACAATCAGATTTGATGATTCCTAACACCAACATGTAATAGAAAAGAAAAAAAAACAGCCCAATACTTAAAGGCTCCCACAAATGGATTTGGAGAGCGTTAGATGTAAACAACCTTGTCCAAACCTACGAAGAGACTACTTCCGTGACATAAACCCTTGAATAGATCGAAGAGTAAGGGGAAAAAAATCAAACAGCGAAACACTAAATGATAATGGTAACACTAACATGGTCAACAATTTGTACAGATGTTATATAATCAGCTTAATTGAGGAAACTAAGAATTACAGGAAAGTGAGGAAAAGAGGATTTTTCCTCCCTAAATAAATTACTGGCGACATAATATCTACCCTTATGCACCCAATCCTCGGGATTTTGGAAGCCTTACCGCAGCTAAAGGGTTGACAATGCCTTGTGCATCTTTGCCTAGGCCCATGCCTTCAACAAAACCCATCTTCGCCATCATCTTCGATCCAAACCCCTTGGTATGCTTCTCAAAAGCTGCAAATTGTTGAGTTCCCTTCTTTGCCGAATTACCGCTCATTTCAGGCGCTTTTGCATTGCTTGTTTCAGGAGATTTTGCACCCAATCCAAGTGATTTTGGTCGTTGGATCACTTGTATAGGCTCTGAGATACCTTGACCATCCTTTCCCAATCCTCCACCTTCTATGAATCCCATTTTAGCCATCATTTTTGAACCAAAGCCCGTAGTGTGCATCTCGAATGCACCATATTTTGATGTGCTGGGTTCTCCTTTGTTTTCCTGGCTAGTGTTGTTCATCATGTCGTTTGATTCAAAGGTTCTGAGCTCAGCCGTGTCAGATTGCATAACACCACTTGAAACAAAGGACACGGGCTGAGCAGCATAAGATGCTTTCCCAACTTTTGTCTTCTTGCTTGCTTCTTTACGGCCAACGGAATTGGCTGAGCTCTTTACAGGCTTGCCCAGGGGCCATTGTGAGTTTAAAGGGCTCAAACCACTACCTTTTGAAGCCTTCTTAACTGATTTTATATCGTTGACAGTGAAATCAGCATCCTTATCAGCAGCTCCTATAAGCTGAAAATAAAAAAACAATCTAATTAGGTTTATTGCAGTTAATCAGTAGATAAACTCAAAAGTAACTAATGGAACTTTCAGATAATATGAAGAAAGAGCATAATATATATGCACACAACCCAAAATTGTAAATAAGCTAATGGAATAACTTTATGCTAATACCTTCTCAAGGCGAACTTTATCACTGGAAGATGGCATACAAGTGTGTGGTGTTCGTAGGACAGTCACAAATCTGAACAAGAAAATGCCAATTGAATTTGAGCATTAGTAACATTTCTCTTCAATAAGGTCATTAGCACTTGGTCTCAACATCAAGGTGATAAAGTATTAGCCCAAGAAAAACATTTGACTACAAAGTAGATTACATTAATCTAACATAAGAATTGTATGGTACCTATAACAACCCAAGAACGTATTTTACCTTTTCTTGCCAGAACCTTGACAGCCACTCAAGCGATAAATCGCTGCTAATCTTTGCACCTAAATATGTTTGAAAATTGGCAATGAGCACCAACGGAGAAATCTCATATATGATTTCAGGAAACAAATATAAAGTACCTGGGAAAAATCCCGGGAGTGCATAGGTTGCAATGACAACATATCCACCCCATCCAAAACCATCTGCTGCAATTTCTGCAAATGAAAATTACATCATTTTTGGTTGTCTTGGAGAAAAGCATACTAGT